GGCGGCAGCGACGGCGGCGGCGGCGGCGGACTCGACGGCGGCGGCGACGACGGCGGCGGCGGCGACGGCGGTGGAAGAGCTGGCGGCGGCGGGGGCGGCGATGACGGCGGGCGCGGAGGGGGCTTAGGCTGTGGGGCGCCAGGCGGCAGTGCCGGTGGCAGCCACGGCGGAGGCCGCGCCGGCGGCGGCGGCGGACACGGCGGCGGCGGCGACGGCGGCGGGATTGCCGGCGGCGGTGGCGAGGGAGGCGAACTGGGTGGCTGCGACGGCGGCGGCGAAGGAGGAGGCGGCGGCGGCGGCGACGGTGGTGGCGGCAGCGGGGGCGGCGGGCGCGGCGGCGGGCGCGGCTCCGGAGCGACCGGCGGCGGGCGCGGCGGCGAGGGCGGCGGAGGCTGGGGCGGAGGCGGCGACGGCGGCGGGGTTGCCGGCGGCGGTGGCGAGGGCGAGGGCGGCGGCGAGGGCGGTGGCGGCGAGGGCGGCGGGCTCGACGGCGGCGGCGACTGCGGCGGTGGCGGTCGCGGCGGAGGAGAGGGCGGCGGCGGCGGCGGCGGCGGCGACATGGGCGGCGGCGGCTGCGGCGCGTGGCCGGGCGGAAATGGCGGCGGCGCGGGCGGCGATGGCGGCGGCGGCGAGGGAAGAGGCGGCGGCGGCGGCCTGGGCGGCGGCGGCGAAGGCGTGGGCGGAGGAGGCGGTCTCGGCGGTGGCGGAGACGGCGACGGCGGCGGAGGCGGCTGTGGCGCGTGGCCGGGCGGACGCGGTGGGCCTGTCGGGAGCGGTGGTGGAGGAGAGGGACCCGCGAAGAACAGTGACATCAACGACAGTCAGAAGCCAGCGCTGGTTACAGGCGACCGCGCTTTTTTTGTTTTACGCTGTTCATGACGCTGTTCACACACAATTTCACAACCACGGACCCAAGACGCACAAGCTCAGACAGTCGAGAAGGGAGAGACAGCAACGACAGTCAGAAGCCAGCGCTGGGTACGAGGAAGGCGAATGCGATGTTCACATTGGCCTTTCCGAGGGTTTCCTCGCTCGCACCCTACCTGGTTTCCTTTCCGTGTTTCCTGCTCGTTTCCCTACAACACCCTCTAGTTTCCTCGGGAAACCCCGGGGAAACTCCGTGGAATTCGTCATTTTGGGGGGGCTCTGAGCCGTGTCTGAGGCTGTTTTCCTCCAAGACACAGTCGGCGACGAGGCAGAGGCTAGCGGAGACCCGACAAAGGACGAGGGAGACCCTAAGCCGTCCCATGGGCTACGAGGACGACGACCGTACCGACACCCGCTGGAGCTTGCGACGAGGATAGGGCCCTTTGGAGAATTCGCCCTTACGCTGGGATACGGGCGAGTGGTGAGCGACAGGCAGAGACAGATCTTGGATGCTGGCGATGCGACATCGGACGTACTTGCTACTTCACGGTCACGCCGCAGAGGAGGCGGCGAGGAAGAATGCGCTCGGAATGGCAGGCCAGACGATTGAGAGGAGGCTGCGCGGAGAGGAGGAGGCGGAGGCCAGCGAGGAGCGGGAGCGGCGAGAGAGCGGAGGGGGCGAGGAGGAGGGAGGGGCGGGTGGCAGACCAGAGAATGGAGGGCGCTGGCAGAGGCGGAGGTTCAACCGGAGGAGCGCCACAAAGGAGGCGCAGCGAGCGGAGGAAGCGGAGCCAACCAGCGACGACGTGGAAATGGAGAGGCTCGAGGGGGAGGCGGACCTCCCAACGGGAGGCGGCGGTGGCGGCGGCGACGGCGGCGGAGCGGGCGGCAAGGCGGCCAAGGACCGCGAGCGGGTGCGCCCCGACCCTCCCACCCCCCCAGACTCCGACGCCGACTCGTCGGAGGACGACGTGGGCGGCGGTGGTCACCGCGGCCCCCCCCGCCTCGGCGGCGGCGTCGGTCGCGACGATGCTGTCGGCGAGCTGTTCGGCGGCCACAAGCTTGCCTGCGACTACGACAGCGACAACCCCTTCGAGCGGAAGCGCGGACTGCAGCTGCGGACCTCGCACTACGCACCAGCGGCGGCGGGCGACACCGTGCACGCAGAGCTGCACCGCAAGCTCAGGGCCGCGAACCAACGAGAGGTGTGCACCCTCCTTCCCTCCCTCTCGTACATGTACGACCTGCACACGCACCTCGAGGGCGCCCTTCCCGACGGACTCGAGCTCGTCGAGGCGCTCCTGGCCGAAGGCGAGTATGGACCCGGCTTGCAGGCGCGCCGCTCGCACCTGCTCGTGCACGAGCCGCAGCGCCCTGCGGGCATCTCCGGGATCATCTCGCTCGTCGCCAATCGCGACCTCGAGCGGCACACGCAGGCCTTGCGACTCTTCACAGCTCATCCTGTCAGCAGGCTTGCGTGGCGGCGCTGAAGGATGCCATCGCTGCGGCGGTCTCCAAGGTAGAGATGCACGGCTGCAGAGGCGGGTCGGGGCGGCGGGGCTGTGCCTGTTCCGAGAAAGTTCCCTCTTGCCGCTGATCTCCTGCAGGAGGACTACGCGGCCGCGGCGTCGCTCAAGACGGAGCTCGAGGCGGCGAAGCGAGAGGCCGCCGCCGCCGCCGCAGTGAGCCAACAGCAGGCGGCCAAGCGGGAGGCCATCGCGGCAGCGGTGGCGAGGGAGGCGCGCCAAAACCCTCATCCCTCACCCCTCAACGCTCACACATCCCCAACCACCCCGAACCACCCCCTACCCCCAGGACTACGCCGCCGCCGCCGCCCTCAAGAAGGAGCTCGAGGCCATCCCCTCCACCGCCGCCTCCGCCTCCACCGCCGCCTCCGCCTCCGCCTCGGCCTCGGCCTCGGCCTCCGCCTCCGCCTCCGCCTCCGCCTCCGCCTCCGCCTCGGCCCCCGCCTCGGCCTCGGCCCCCGCCTCGGCCTCGGCCTCCGCCGGCGGCGGCACCGCCCCGCCGCCCGGCGCTGCCGAGGCTAGCCCCGCGGCGGCGGCGCTGACCTCAAAGGAGGGCGCGCCCGAGGCGCTGCCGCTCATGCTGAGCCTGACCGAGCCCGCGACCGCCGAGCCCAGCTCGAGGCAGACGTTTCCTCCATGCAGGCGCACCACCCCTCCCCCGCCGTCGCCCTCCGCCCCGCCCTCGCCCCTAACGCCACGCCCCGGTCGCCTCTCGCCATTCTCCTCCACCCTCCCCTCCCCCCTCCCCTCCCCGCCCACCGCGTCTTCACAGAGAGGGCGCCGACGACGAGGGCTCGAGGAGGACTCCGCTGAGGGACACGACGCGGTGGAACCGGCGCGGCTCCGGCACGGCCCCGTCGACGTGCTCGTCCCACTTCCTCACCCCCGCGTCCGGCTCGAGCACAGCATCCTCCGTGAGTGAGGGGGCCCTCCTCGACTGGATGATCTACGCGACTGCGCAAGAGATTGCGGAGGCGCAGACGGGGCCTTGATCCGCGTGATCGCCCCGCGCCGCGTGGCCCGCCGCTTTGTCCCTTGAGCGCGGCGTCGTTGAGTCACTTTCATACGTTTCGTGCGCGTGGGCCACCGTGCGTGCTCTGATGATTGCGTACCCGCCGGATGAGTGCGTACCCGTTCTTGCGTACCGCGTACGCCGTTCCTGCACCCGTATATGCCGTCAAGCCGTATCTCCGCCGCGTCTCGATCCTGGTGCGATTCGTGTGTGGAATGTGTGTGCTGCCGAGAAGCGAGATCGGCAAAATTCCAAAAACATGTTGGTGCGCTAGGTGTGAGACACAATACTTTATGATGAAACTGCCGCACGCGTGCTAGAGTGGGGCCTGCACGCGCCATGGGCATGCCGGCGTGCACGTGGGCGCATCTGGGCGCCGTGGCGCGCGAGCGGCGCGGAGGCCGAGGAGTCGACGCTGCAGCCTGGGGAGCAACGGCAGAGCGGGCGCGCCGCGCTGCGGCCTGAGGAGCGAGGGCATCGGGCAGCCGTGCCAGCCCTCTGTCCACTCCCTCAAGACGCCGCACCGCAAGCGCCGGCTCGGCCGCCAGCAGCGGCAAACGAAGGCAGCGTCTACCTAGCCAAGCCGGCGCCGGCGGGGCAGCTAGAGCCGCCCAGCCAAGCACTCGCCACCGGCCCCCTCTCCCTCCTTCAGGCACCCCGCCGCCGCCGCAGCGTCGGCCAGCGCAGCATCGGCGAGCGCCGCGTCCAGACCAGCAGCGCAGCAGCGTATCCACCACTGCGCCGTGCGCGTGGGCCGTGGCGCGCGAGCGGAGGGCGAGGGGGTCCCACTCTGGCAGTGCACGCGAGTCGCACTTGGCCGACTGCGACGCTGCAGCCCGCGGGAGCAACGGCAGAGCGGGCGCGCCGCGCTGCGGCCTGAGGAGCGAGGGCATCGGGCAGCCGTGCCAGCCCTCTGTCCACTCCCTCAAGACGCCGCACCGCAAGCGCCGGCTCGGCCGCCAGCAGCGGCAAGCGAAGGCAGCGTCTACCTAGCCAAGCCGGCGCCGGCGGGGCAGCTAGAGCCGCCCAGCCAAGCACTCGCCACCGGCCCCCTCTCCCTCCTTCAGGCACCCCGCCGCCGCCGCAGCGTCGGCCAGCGCAGCATCGGCGAGCGCCGCGTCCAGACCAGCAGCGCAGCAGCCCACCAGCGCAGAGATCAGCCGCTCGTCGGGTGGGGTAGGTCCGGCTGCGGCGGCGCTCCGCGGTGGACATCCCGCCGCCATAACCGCCGCAGCGCCCTCCCGTCACTCGACCCGCCGTGCTGTACCGGCTCCGCCGTCCTGAGCAGCCAGATCCGCGCGGTCGCGCAGAGAGCGCTGCGGGCCACCTCGCCCTTGAGCGAGTAGCGGATCGACCGGCGCCTTGCACCCAGCCACGTCAGCGAGGCATTGCAAGTTCCACGATGATGTTGCAGCGCCGCTCGCCTCCTCGCGCGCCAAAGGTCCCTGCAGATCACGGCCGGCAGCGGGTACCGACGCCGCTGCCGCAGGCGTCGCCCATTGTCGCGCCGCCGCCGCTGCTGCATTCGCTGCCGCCGCCGCCGCCGCCGCCGCCTCCGCCTCCGCCTCCGCCTCCGCCTCCGCCTCCGCCGCCGTCTCCGCCGCCTCCGCCTCCGCGAGGACGCGCTTGCTCTCCCGCGCGAGAACAAGCGCGGCGTGCTCCGGGCAGGACCACACGCCGAAGCGCAGGCCCTTCTTGCCGAGGCGCTTCGCGTCGCTCGCGCACGGCTGCCAGTGTGCGGAGTAGGCCGTCGGGCCGCCTTCCGCCGTGCTGGCCCGCATAATGACGCCTTTATAGCCCGACGGGTTGATCGCCGTGCTCACCCTGTTCGCGCCCTCCTTTACCGCGGCCTCCCCAGCGGCCTCGGCACTCATCGCCTCGATCCTCCCCCTCTCCTCGCTACGGTACTTCCACCAAGCCTCTGCTCCAGTCGATGCATCAGCGGCTCGCTTCCTGCCCGACCCCGCCCTCCAGCCACCGCGGGCCCGCACGCCAACCTCGGCCACATGCCTGGCGTACGCGAGCGCGGCGTGCTCCGCCGTCACGAACTTGCCCAGGATCTTCTTCTTTGCCTTGCCGATGCTGCCATCGATGCTGCCATCAGTCGTCGGCCGGGTGTCCAAGACGGCGAAAGGGTGCAACCGCGAAGTGGACTCGATGACGCCCGCGAAGCCGGTGGCGTTCTTGCGTTCCACGAGCGAGAGGCCCTCCTTCTTCGCCAAGGCACGCGCCTGCTCAGCTGTGAGGTGGACGTCGCAGCCGCAGGCGAGGCGCGACAGCGACAGCGAGTGCATTGCTCTCACCTGCCACGAAAAAATTGAAAAAAAATTCGGCTGAAGGTCAACGGCGTCGGCGTGGGCTTCGACGCGGAGGCGCGCGCCGAAATCAAGGTGAAGGCGCAGGAGGACAAGCTCAAGGTGCTCGAGCGGCTTACGCCGCTGCTCGGCCGGCAGGCCGCCGAGCTCTACGGCCGCTTCTCGTGCAAGCCGTCGACCACCTTCAACCACCAAGCGCGCGGCAACGAGCCCTCCATCTCGCGCGTGCCGCTCGAGCACGCGGGGGAGATGCAGGCGCACCTCTTCCGCACCGTCACCGCCACCGCCCCCGACGAGATCCGCGACGTCCAGCACGACGCCAACCCCGCCGGCCCGACGGAACGGCGGTGCGAGGAGGCGATGCACCTCTCGCAGCGGCACGGCGGCGCTGGCTGGACGCACCCTCGGCTCGTCGCGCCGGCCGCCTCAACCGGACGCGTGATGGACGTCCTCTACCTATTGCGGCGGCTCGAGGACGTGTCGCCGCTAGTGCCGCCGCCGAGTGAGTGGGCCACGTCGGGCGTGCCACTGCTTGAGGAGGCGATCGCGTTCATTGCGATGCTCGTGAGCGACTCGGCGGGCTTCAAGCAGGGCCCAGACGACGAGGCCGACGACTGGAAGTACATCCGCGGCAAGATTGTCGCGCCCGACGGCTCGCTCAACTACGAGGGGATCGAGCTGCTCTCGGGGCGCCACTTCCAGCACGTCGCCAGCGGCTGCCAGTTCGAAGAATCTCGTTGGGACCGGGGTTCGACTGGCTCCATGAGGCAAAATGGGTTGAGAATGATGAACAAGTACAATGGCCGGCGCTCTCATGGGTGGGTCCCAGCCCCTGTCTGTAACACACGTGTCACCAAGATATTCAAATATCTACACGGCGAGGTTAGGGCGAACAGCGAGCCCAGTTCGCCCACCGGCCACCGCCAGCTCGGGCAGCAGAGTTGGGCTGACGGCGCCGCTCATCGCCAGAGAGAAGAAATAATGCCATTTTTTTCTTTTTCAGTGTGCCAATCCGCGCCAGTCCGCGCCCTTGTCGTGCCAGTGTTGATAGAATTCTTTTTCAGCACCGCCCCACAACTCGCGGGACTCAGCTCTCGCCGATGCCTGGTGGGCAGGGCTGGCGTGGGATGAACGACTCGAAACGGCAGAGCTGCGTCACCGCGTTCAGCCCACGGCAGCCCAAGATCTCCGTCGTGCGCAACGGGGGGGTGCAGTACTCCTTTGAGTGCTTCTGGGCACCGCCGTCCTCGTCGTCGAGCAAAGCAGGACTGTTCCAAAAGCACAACCAGCTTGGGGTCTGCATGCCGCGCATGCTGCAGGCGCTTTCCGCGCGGGGCGCCGAGCTCGCGCGCAGCGGCGAAGTCGAGGGCGTCGCCTACGCCGAGCGTGACGGCGTCGCGGACGAGGCGCACGTCCACATCGAGGCCAGTGTCCTCTGGCGCTTCAAGGAGCAGCTGCAGCCGCTCGCCGAGATCCCGAAGCTGCCCGAAAAGGCGCCGCTGCTGCCCGCGCCCGCCCGGCCCCTGCGCACCCCGCGAGCACGCGCCCCCTCCGATCAAAGCCCTCCTCCCGCGTCCTCGCCGCAGCTGGGCGGCCGGCAGGCCTCCTCGTACCCGCACCTCGTCAAGCAGCTGCTGGACGCAATGTTGATCGGGGTGGAGATCCCGATGCTGGGCACGTGCTGGGCCAAGGTGGCGGACTGGTTGGAGGACCGCGCCGAGGAGCTGCCCGAGGACCTGACCAACGAGGTCGTCGCGCTCGCGGTGCAGAACCCCCTCTTCGTCGCGGCTTTCTCCGCGGAGCTGGCAGAGAAGCTCAACATCCCGCACGCGCTGGAGGTGGCGAGCGGCGCAGCTGGCGCGGCAGCGGGCGGCTCTGCGCTGGGCACCTCGTCGGCGGGCGGCTCGCCGGCGGGCGGCTGGGACGCGGCGTCGGCGGTCGGTGGGGACGAGCACGGCTGGGAGGACGGCGGCGAGGCGGCAGAGGGCGAGGAGGAGGCGGTCGAGGAGGCGGTCGAGGAGGCGGGCGCCTCGCCGGCGGGCGCCTCGCCGGCGGGCGGGCAGCGGGCGGGCAGCTCGGCGGAGGCGGAGGCGATGGAGGTTGAGGACGGCCCGTTCGCGGCGGGCGCCTCGCCGGCGGGCGCCTCGCCGGCGGGGGCGATGGAGGTGGAGGGCGGCGCGGCGGCGGGCGGCTCGGGCGCGACGGCAGGCGCGCAGCGCGCTGTTCCGGACGAGCGGATGGTGGAGGAGACGGGCGACGCGGAGGCGGGCGAGGAGATGGACGAGGCGGGCGGCCTCCTCGGCGACGATCACCCCTCCCCGCTTGGCCGCGACGGCGGGGAGGCCCCCCCCGCCGCCAAGCGGGCCAAGCCGACCCCCGCGACCGCCCCGCGCGGCAGCCGCCACGGGCCGGGGGCTCCTCCCTCGCCGACTCCCACCCGCCGGCGTCCGACGGTCCCACGGTCGGCGCCCCCGGCTCACCGGCAATGGCCTGCGGCGACGGCCGCCGGCGGAGCCATGCGCCCGTCAGCAGACCCGCTCCCGAGCGACCAGGCGCGCGCCCTCGCTGCATGCCACCGGGGCAGCCCTCACCGCGAGGACGGCGTCGACACGTCCGAGGTCTTCGCTGAGTGGAAGGAGCGTGCACGCTGCTTGAAGAGAAAGTACGATGCCGTGGTCCAGCAGCTTCGCGACCACAGCAGCACCGTCCGCGAGCTGCTCGAGAGGCTGCGCGCACGGGCGCGCACGAACGCGACCGACAGCCTCACGGCGCTCGGGCGCTTTGCCGATCGTGGCCTCACCGGCCACACCCTGGGATACTTGTGCGCGGAGGTCGCGGGCGCGGAGATCCGCGACTGAGAATCGCCTCGGGGCTCGCCTCGGGGCGATCTAGGTGGAGATTGGCCTTTGCGCGCGACAGTTGTGCGCCTACTAGATGATGCATGCACACATGGTACGTTGATCGTTCGGTTATGTTGTATTGGCGTTTGCGCGAGTAGAGATGCGAAGCGATGGTGAATGTTGGTATGTTGTGGTGTTTATATGCGCGACTAGTTCAGCGCCTTGTGCATGAGTGATCGAAAAAAACTTGGAGCTCGGACTACGGCAGACTTTTTTCTTTTCGCCCTCTGTGCCAAATGCTCCGCGAGCTTCAGTCGGCCGCCGACGCGGCGGAGGAGGCGGAGCGGGATGTGGTGGCGGCGATCAGCGAGGCGCGGCAGCTGCTGGCTGAGCTCGATGCTCAGCCGGAGCCGGATTTGTCTACGGCGCAGGGCGCCGTCAAGGCCCTCGCAGGTTACCCGAATGCTCTTGCCCAGCTTGCAACCGCCGTCGGTGCGGCTGTGCTGGAAGACGAGGCGACGCCCGGAGCGAGCACGCTCGTCGGCATGCAGATCGCAGCCCACCGTGCGGCAGCGGCTGCGGCTGAGGCCGGGCGCGCGGCCGGCGAGGCGTCGGTCTCGGCGGCGGCGGCGGCGGGAGACCGCGCGAGCGCGGAGCGCGCGGGCCTCGCGGCGTCGGTCTCCGCGGCGGCGGCGGCGGGAGACCACGCGGGCGCGAAGCGCGCGGCCGGAGAGGCGTCGGTCTCGGCGGCGGCGGCGGCGGGAGACCGCGCGGGCGCGGAGGGATCGGCCGGCGAGGCGTCGGTCTCGGCGGCGGCGGCGGCGGGAGACCGCGCGGGCGCGAAGCGCGCGGCCGGCGAGGCGTCGGTCTCGGCGGCGGCGGCGGCGGGAGACCGCGTGGGCGCGGAGGGAGCGGCCGGTGAGGCGTCGGTCTCGGCGGCGGCGGCGGCGGGAGACCGCGCGGGCGCAGAGGGATCGGCCGGCGAGGCGTCGGTCTCGGCGGTGGCGGCGGCGGGAAATCGCGCGGGCGCGGAGGGAGCGGCCACCGCGGCGTCGGGCTCCGCGGAGGCGGCGGCGGGCTCCGCGGCGGCGGCGGCGGGTGGGCGGGAGCGCGCGGAGCACGCGGCCGGCGACGCGCGCGCCTCGGCCGAGGCGGCGCAAGCCCATTCTCGCGCGGCGGAGAAGTCTGCGGCGGCGGCGGCGGCGGACCGGACGGCCTTCAGCAAGCTGCTGGAGGACCTGCATCAGGCGCAGGCGCGGGCGGAGGCGGCGGCGGAGGCGGCAGCCGAGGCAGCGGCTAGGGCGGAGGCAGCGAAGGCAGCGGCTCTTTCAGATGTCGCCGACAGGGCGGCGAGGCAGGCTGCAGCGGAGGCGGCGGGGAAGGCAGCCCGGGCGGCGGCGGCGGCGGCGGAGCGGGCGGCGGCGGTGCGGGCGGCGGCAGAGGCGGCTCTGTCTGCCAGCCTCTATCGGCTCGAGGCGCGGGTCGACCGCTCGGACCGGCAGCGACGAGCGCAGGTCATGAGCGCGCCACTGCACTTCCAGGCGACCACCTCCCACAAAACGACCGTCGGGGGGGGGTGGACGCAGGTGTGGCGCAATGTTTGCCAGCGGCACTCGGGGACCAGAGGGGAGAATGGGCTGCCGGTGTGTTGCCCCTGCAGGAAGGAAGGGGACCGGGGGCGTCCGCATGCGATGTCCGTGAGCGTTGCCGGGGCGCACGTGGTCTTTCGGGATGGGGAGGGCACGTTGCACGCCGGGATCATCCCCGTGTGCAACAGCTGCAACCGCTCGGAGCTGGACATCGTCTGGCCGTGCGCAGCCGTCACGATAATGACCGTACGCCTGCTAGGGGACAGGAGGGCGTCAACGTACACTGGAGAGCTGTACCCGAGAGATAGGACGCGGCGCTACGAGAGAATCACGCAGATCCTCACGACCCCCACTTCTGTCTCGCTGACGGGCCCGCTCGCGGGCGCCCCCGATCCCACGCCCCACACGAGCGAGTGGAAGCGCGACCCCGATCGGTATATGTGGTTTATGGGGTCCTTGCTCCAGGGCAGTGTCCACAGGGGCGGGATTAGCGACAATAGCCACGTGTCCAGGGTGGTGTTGTTCGAGGGGAGTAAGTAGAGAGAGCAGAGTCGTGGTCGCACTCCCGCGCTGCCTCGTGTCTCTCATCGAACTCACGTGTCTCTCTGTTGTAATATCGTGTCCACTACCACTTCGGGCGGTTCGCGCGTGCGCGGTGACCGGTGTGTCTCTCTCGTCTCTCGAGGTCTCTCTCTCGTCTCTCGACGCAAAAGACCATGGATCCTGTTTTTTCTCGTGCCGGCAATGAGGCATGGCTTTCGACTGCTGGACACCGGACACGTGATCCGCGACTCGAGATCCGCGAGAGCCGCGGTGGGTGCAAACAAGCGTGAATGAACGCAGAAGACAGAAGTCAGAACACGCGCCATTGATCGCTGTTTCTTTCTTCCCCAGCACCCATACAGCAGTTGTCTTCAGCTGATTAATTTCTTCTCTGACGCTCTTGTGTGTCGCGCGGTGTGTCGTGTGCTGCACAGTGTCAGTGACGGGGGTGGAGAGAAGTTTACCTTGTACGCCTTCCCTACCTTTACGGCTCTACCTAACAGCTAACTCGCAGTCACGGCTCACGCATGTGCAGAACATACCGTGCGCTGATGCCCCGCGCGCCGCCCACCTACACTTGACTAGTCAGAACCCCACGGCCTGCGAGGCACGGGGAAAGAATTTGCATTGGGCCACACTTATTTTCGGACAACCGTCCTAGCAAATTCAAATCCTCACACCAGCGAAGGGGAAAGAAGGAGTCTTCCCCGCTCCATTATGGCCCGGTGCGAGCTCTCAGGCCGTGACGCACTGTTCATTCCAGCCTGAAGCCGCCCGAGGAGAACTCGAACCCGATCGCATCCGCTGCCGCCTCCAGCGCGCCCACCTCCGCCTCGCTTAGTCGCCATCCCATCGCGCCCATGTTCGCCGCCGCCATCTCCGCGTTCCTCGCGCCCGGGATCGGGATTGCTCCCTTCGAGACCACGTAGTTGATGGACACCTGAGGCACCGACTTTCCGCGCGCCGCCGCGGAAGCCGTCGGCTCCGCCGACGACGTACTTCTTCATCGTGAGCGACTTTGGAAACTTGGGCAGGTTGTCGGCGTCGTACCGGCCGCTCAGCAGCCCGTTCGCTAACGGGTTCAGTGCGACGAGGTCACCTCACGAGGAGTGTGATCACAGGTGCCTCACGCCTCGCTCGACCCCTCGCGCATCCTCTCCATCGGCGTGAGCCTCGCGCTCGTCGACGCCGCCGGCGCCCCCAACCCGCACCTGCACGCGGGGCCCTTCCGCCTCCTCCTCCACAGCGTGGCCGCGATCACCGAAGCGGCGGCGGGCGCCGAAGCGGCGGCGGGCGCCGAAGAGGAAGCGGCGGCGGGCGCGGACGCAGCGGCGGCCGCGGCGGCGAAGGCGAAGGCAGCCACGGCGGCGGAAGAGGCGGCACCGGCGGAAGAGGAGGCACCGGCCGCCGCAGCGGGCCCGCCCGCCAAGGTCGTGCTCGCCGCTTTCGACGGCAGCGCGCCGGCGCGGGCGTGGCGCGTGACCGATCCGGTGATCTTGCGCTGTGTTCTTGCGTAGCGTCTCTTCACACTCTGTCGGCGTGAACAGGCGCGTGACCGACGACCCGGTGATGGGGGGCGCGTCGCACTCGGCGTTGCGCCTCACCGGCCAAGGCATGATCTCGGCTACTCTCGGCTACTCTCGGCTACTCTCGGCTTCTCTCGGCTACTCTCGGCGTTGCGCCTCACCGGCCAAGGCATCACTACCTCAGCTTGCCTCGTTGGCCTTCCCTCAGGCAGCGCGTCGTTCGAGGGGACATGCGCCATCGTCCGCTTCCTCCACGCGCCTGGCTGCAAGGTGTCGACGGGGGAAGGCTACGGCCGCGCGCCCGAGACGTTCCCCGACGCGTCGGCTTTCCTGTCTGGCGGGGCTGCGCACCTCACCGTCCGCCCGGGCAGCGGTGGAGTACTGAGGGCGCATCGACCTGTGAGTAGGCGGGCTGCACCTCACCATCCGCTCGGCCACGCCAGCCTACCGCGGCTTCAAGGCCCGCGTCAGCTCGGGGCCAACCTCGGCTAGCGCGTCAAACACGCGCAACCGCAACACCACACAGCCCTCCCCCGCCTCTGACCCCCCTCTGATCCCCCCTCTGACCCCCCCCCCCCTCTGCCCCCCCCTCTGACCCCCCCACCCCTTCCCTCTGCTGCAGGCCAGCTTCACCGCGCGAGGCATGGTGAGGCAGCCGGGGCAGTTCCACGGCGTTCCGAGCTTCAAGGCGAGAGCACCCGAGAGCACCCGAGAGCACCCGAGAGCACCCGAGAGCACCCGAGAGAGCACCCGAGAGTAGCGTGCCGGGCCTTGTAGCCGTGCTTGGTTCCCCGCCCCCCGGTCCCGGTCCTCGTGCGGGTTGACGCCACGTCTCCTGTCGCCAGTCGCTTGGGCGTGGGTAGGGGCTTGGAAGCACGGTTGCCTCCTCCTGCCATAGGCGGACTTTGCCGTCCCCGCGCCCTCCGACGACGGCCCCGGGTGGGTGACGGTGCGCGTGCCCTTCTCCTCCTTCTCGGCGGGCACCTCCGAGTACACCGGCCGGTGCGGGAGCCCTAGAACGAGATTCCCGAGATTACCCGAGATCAGCCGATAGAGCACCGGCCGGTTTCGGGAGCCATAGAAGCGCGGAATGCATGTCTCTGTGTTCCAACAACCAGCACTCGAGAGGGCACGAGTTCCGCTGTCTTCGTTGTAGCCGCAGCCCTCCCATTCACGGGATCCGAGGCACCCTGGTGTATTCACACTGTAGGTGCGACACCAAGGACCCGACCGGGCTGCAGCACCACTGCTGCGGCACCGCGCACCCAGAGCAGTGCCCCACGGCGGCCCACCTCTCCGCCATCACCGGCCTCGCCCTGTGGGCCGAGGGGGTGGAGGGCGACTTCTCCCTCGAGGTGCGCGTTATTGCGGCCGGGCTGTAGTGGGCACGAGGGGGGCGGGACGTGTTCTGAGTACTGCGTACGGCATGCCTGTTTGGTAGCGCCACTGTAAGGTAAGGTAAGGTAAGGTAAGGTAAACTTCTCCACACACACGACGCTAACGGCAAACCCGCACGAGAAACTATTTTTTCATAAAAACTGGCGCCGACCCGCTAGGAGGGTCGGCATGGGGTGCATTTGAGCTGGGGGCGATTTTTGAGCTAAAACCCTCCCTTGTGCCACCGTTTCGTTGGCACGCGCGCCGGGGCGCCGTGTGCTCGCCCTTGATCGTATCAAGACGCCCCAGGGCAGTGGGGTCGTCTCCAAGGGACGGTGGAGGCACCAGCGGCCTCACACCTGCACGTTTTGACCTCGACGTAGCTCCGCAATCTCGATTGAATCTCGATGCGCTCTCCACAAATACTCGCTGGAGCCTCCAAACCAGAGCAGTCCGTCACGACACACGCGTGCCCACCCTCTCGGAGATATCCAGAACGCCCCGGATCTCGTCTCATTTCGTAGCCACTTGTTTGTGCATTCACACATTACACGCGTGAATCGCCTCTCGGCGCCGGCGGACGCTTCGCTTCGCCGAGGGCTCGCAGCTTCGTGAGAGCCCTCCCAGGCCGCCGGCTGGTCTCGAGCGCGGCCGGCGCACGCCGGCCTCCGCCGCACCCCGCCGGGTGGCGGAAACTAGCGGGGGCGGCCACGGGAGAAAGGTGAAAGCGTTGCCTCTCCCTTGGGTTGTCCGTTTTCTTTCTTTCTTTTTTGAGAGAGTGCGTTGTTCTTGTGTAGGTATCCGCTTTCTCTCTTTTTTGCCGTCCTCCCATCCGCATCCCTCCCGGCGGTGTTTTTCTTTCTTTCTTTTCACGTCATCCAGCTCCCCCAGGACCCAGCCTCCACAGTATCTGTAGCTTTAGGGTCTAGCGCTTGTGAAGCCCTCCCACCCTATCCGGATCTTGGCCTCTCCCGACTCGGTCGCACTCCTATATCAGCCACGCCCCCCTCGCCCCCCTCTCACTCCTGCGACCACACCTCGATCTTCTTGGGCAGCAGCTGGTCCGACAGGTCCTCTCCGTGGCCTAGGCAGCCGCTCTCGCCCTTGCCCCAGGTGAAGATAGCGCCGTCGCCGGTGCGGGCGATGCTGTGGTGGCCTCCAGCCGACACAGCGATGATGCGCTGCCCAGCAAAGGCCTCGAGCTTCCTCGGCAGCAGCTGGTTCTGCCCCAGCTGGCCATCGCCTCCCCAGCCCCAGCTCCAGACAGCGCCGTCAGCGGTGCGGGCGAGGTTGTGGTCGCCTCCAGCCGACACAGCGAGGACGCGCTGCCCAGCAAAGGCTTCGATCTTCTTGGGCAGTAGCTGGTTCTGCTGGTCGCCGTGGCCCAGCTCGCCATCGCCTCCCCAGCCCCAGCTCCAGACGGCGCCGCTGCTGGTGATGGCGAGGCTGTGCAGACCTCCCGCTGACACAGCGACGACGCGCTGGCCAGCCAGAGCCTCGATCTTCTTCGGCAGCAGCTGGCGCTGCTGGTCGCCGTGGCCCAGCTGGCCATCATATCCAACGCCCCAGCTGCAGACAGCGCCATCGGCGGTGATGGCGATGCTGTGGTACCACCCTGCTGACACGGCGACGACGCGCTGGCCAGCAAAGGCCTCGACCTTCTTGGGCAGCAGCTGGTTCTGCTCGTCGCCGTGGCCCAGCTGGCCAAAGAATCCACGGCCCCAGCTCCAGAGGGCGTCGTCGGCGGTGAGGGCCATGCTGTGAGACATTCCAGCCGACACAGCGACGACGCGCTGGCCAGCAAAGGCCTCGATATTCTTGGGCTGCCACTGGTCCTCCTCGTCGCCGTGTCCCAGCTTGCCGTCCTCGCCGCTGCCCCAGGACCAAAGGGCGCCGTTCGCGGAGAGAGCGAGGCTGAAGTATCGTGACGCCGCCACACCAATCGCGCGCTCGCCTCCGCCCAACGGGGAAGGGAGACGGGTCGGCGTCTTCAGCTGCAGCACGCCCTCACCATGGCCGAGAAGGCCTGCAATTTCCTCCTCCTCGTCCTCCCCGTCCTCCTCGCCCTCCTCGCCCTCCTCGCCCTCCGCTGCC